AGTGGGGGTGTGGCCAGGGCAGGGGCGGGGCAGGGCAGGGGCAGGGCCAGGGCAGAGTACTGGACTGTGCGGTCTGGGAAACCCCACTCCTGACAGGGCGACCGCCCCGCTGTGCCCCTGGACAGAAGTCGGCATGAGGCGCCCCCTGAACGCCGGCTCTGCCCACGGCCCTGCCTGGAACGGACTGCTGCTAACAGGTGCGTGCGGGACAGCGGCTCCACCTCGGCCTAGGGACCAGGAAAGGACGCCCCTCGGGGAGTTTCTATCCAAGTTAGCGTCGCCCCACTCAGAGCTGCCGCTCTGGACAGTGCCCACGGGGCACGGGCACCTGTGCCATGGACCCCTCTTATAAAGGAGGAAACGGAGGCTCAGACAGAATCAGAATCCAGGCCCCACCCCAGCCCCTTTCCACGAGCGCACCCTGTCTCACCCAGCTCGCCACCTCTAATCACAATGCTGAAATAGTGATCGTGTCAATAATATAACAACAGCAACCCTAATACAAAGGGGTCATTGTGACAGTATTTCTCCAAGCTTTCACTTAGCAACGTTTCATTCTTAGCCCCATGACACAAGGGCTGCGTGGATCCCAGTCCACAGAGGGGACACTGAGGCAGGGGAGGTTATGTGCCCTCCATGGGCCCCACAGCTTGGAAGTGGCAGGAGGAGAATTTGACCCACGTGGAGATCCACACGCATCCACCTCTCGGATAATAAGCGATTTGCCTCCTCCCCCAGGTCTTGTAAAGCCAGTTCCGTGTCATTTCAAAACCCCGGTTTAATGCTTCTGTTTGTCCCCAGCCAGGCCTGTGTCAGACGGAAGTGGGGACAGCATGGGACATGGTGGGCCTTGTCGCACGTCCTTTCTCCCAGCCCAGAGCTGTAGTCTGTCCCCCCCCCCCCCCCCATTCCAGGGCCATAGGCAAAGGGGAAAGGAAGTGGGAAGGTTTCTGTTTGCTGATTATAGTTGTAAGAGGGTGGGGGAGGGCGTGCTGTGTGGCTGAGGCACTGTTTGTTACTGGAACTTTCTGGGTGAGGGGTAGTGATGACGTGTTTTTTTCTAAATCTGGTAATATTATTTCCTGAAAACTTATTTTAGCACCTACTGTAAGATTTTTCAAATGTCAGAATTGACCTTGTTGAAGTAAGTGTGGAATTAATACAAAAATGTTTTCCAGGAAATAGATTTAAAATACATAGATATTCATTTTAAGAGGAGAAAAACAAATATATGCCAGATAAGCATTTTTATTAACAAGGCTTGGCTATTCTTTTAGATCTTGTTTCTTCTTTGTTTGCATTCGTATTTAGAAAGTCACCAGAGTATAAATGGAATATTGAAGTTTGATACACAATTCATTAGTACCAAACTTCCAAAAATGCAATAAGCCATAATGCTTAATCAAGTATATTAGTATAAATATCCACCTGCAATAATATTTGAAGGCAAATAAGAGGTTTGCTATTATTACCAAGTATTCATTATACCAAACTTGCAATTTTATGTTTGTTCCATAATAAAAAGTTAATTCCCTTACCAAACACATACAAACTACTCTACTATCCAGTTACTCTCTACTTGCAAACTCACCTTTCAACATTCGGGTGAAAGATAAAGACAGTGTTATTTGAAATACTTCAAGTATTAAAGAGAAAAACATATTCAATTTTTTAAAAATTTCCCAAAATTATCTTGTATGTACTCTTCAGATTAATAAATTACTTTTTGAGAGAGAACCATAGTACATTTGGATGATAAAGTAAACAAATACAGTGGCACACAAACTCAGGCACATGGAAATAGTATTAATAAAAATGTTATTAAAATAGTAGAATTACTTTTACTCTTCCATGTATTTGAGCCACATTGCATTATTTGCCATTTCTCATTTAATCTTCATAGCAAATGTTTAATACTGATATGTTGTCTATCTTACAGATGAGGAGCTTCAACTAAATTAGTGGTGATAGAGCTGACAGTTGCTGAGTATAGAGTTAAAATCCAGATCTGGCTAATAACAAATTTCCTGTTTTGTTTTATCTTTTTATCACAATTTTGAATTGTTTCTGGTGGTATTTGCAGTCAAAGACTAGAATAAGTCATAGGGGAAAAGGCAAAAAAAACTTTAGTAGAAGAGATAAATTTTATTCTTTTATTTAAAGAAAAATGGTCCCATGTTGGCTATATCTCTCTGAATGGAACCATGTCACTCATAAACACTCTCTGATTCAGGTTCACCTAATAACTTTACTAATAAAAGGGTGATATGCTAATTAGACTGGGAGACCTTCCGGGAGACCTTCCAGACAAAGCTATGGTGGCGGAGCTGAGGCAGAGGCAGTTGGGGGCGATCAGGCCGGTAGGGGAGGGCAGTTGGGGGTGAGCAGGCCAGTAAGCAGACTGGTTAGGGGCGATCAGGCAGGCAGGCAGGTGAGCAGTTAGGAGCCAGTGGTCCCAGATTGGAGAGGGTGCAGGCCAGGCTGAGGGACACCACCCCCCGCCCCACCCCCGTACACGAATTTCATGCACCGGGCCATTAGTAAAAGAATAAAGTGTGTTTCGTATACTCACAACAGTAAACCTGCTTTTGCCACACCCTTTATAGAAATACATTTTAAATATATGTAAAATATAGTTTCTATTTATTAACATATTTATACTTTTCTTTATACTTATGCATTATTAAATTATAAAATTGATATATCATAATCATATATAACCATGTAATATATGCATAATTATCTATTAAATTAATTACATGTTATATAATGTATAATTATATAATAACTAGGGGCCCGGTGCACGAAACCCCGTTCTGTGCCCAGCCTGTGCTGGGGACAGAGCCTCCTGGGCTCACAGCCCAGAGGGAAACACACCCTCCCAGACAGAATGACCCACAGTGTCGGGGGCAGGAGTGGGGTGAGGAGGGAGACCGGAGCGCTCAGGTGTGAAGCTGGGGAGACGGTGACCAGGAGGGAACCTTGCAACGCTGTCAAAATCGAAACATGGCCTCAGACAGGTGTGACATCAGTTATGCAGATGGCTTCCTTGTGCTCTTGTTTCATAAAAGCCTAAGAATGCAATTTGTTTTCATCAAGACAAGAAAGCAAAACCCTGGCCAGGCACTTGGGTGTAACACCTTATTCCTGTCACTCTGTGGCCATCCAGTCAGGTGAGGTCTCTGCCCAAACACGGTAGTGCCTGTTTCCAAGCACAGCTGACGTCAGCGGAGGCGTGAGGAGAGGGTGCCTGCGCTGACGCTCGAACCACAGCTAGGAAAAGAGTCGGAGGAGAACAGCATTCCGGGCGGGGGAGCAGCGTGGGCGAAGGCCTGGCGGCCAGAGCACGGTGTGGAGATCAGTGTGATGGGCGCAGAACGTGAGGGAGGAATGGAGGGAAGAGCAAAGGCATGTAGCAGGGTGCCGGGCAGAGGATTCTGAGCAGTGTCCTGAGGCACTAGGGAGCCAGGGAAGGCTTATGAGCAGGGAGGGAGTAGATAAGTCACACCAGCTACCAACTCAGAGGTAAAATCAGTGAAGGCAGGAAGTGAGAGCCCCCTAGATCCTCGGGCAGGGGTGGGCAACCTTTTTGTGCGTGCGTGCCAAAACCAGCAAAATCTCTGACTCAAAATTCTTCTGCATGCCAACCCTAATTTTTTGATAACATGTTACGCCTACTTGATATCTCTTAAGGTGTACGTATGTGAAGAACCTTGAAGAAATAATAAAATTCATTCGAGCGACAAAAACACAGTATATGATGATGAAAAATACATTTATTTTTTAATGTATACATGTACACTGATAGTCCGACAGAAAACTTTATGACTCCGTTTGATATTATCAGTGGGACTTTTGCTGCTGCATCACTGATGACAGAGATTTTACATCAGGTTTATATTTCGTGACCTTCAGAAATATGCACGAGCTACTACTTTCATCCGCCAGGCTACTCCTATTGCGAGACTTAACAAATTCATCACTGAGAACAAAGATTCACAAGCGTATGTGGATGAAAACATGGAGAGTAACGCTGTTGCAAAGTTTTTTAAACAGAAAAAATTTTCTGGAATGGCATTCCAAGTCCTCAATAGTTCGTTTTCGACACTATTGAAATTACTCTTCCCCTCTCTCGTCAATCCATGTCTATGGTCTTTAAGATAACTTGTTATGTAAAATTATTTATCTAAGATG